AGAAGCAAAAACAAAGCAACCAGAATCAGAATCTCGCGGCTACACAACCAAATTAAAGAGATCTCAGTAACTTCAATGCACAGAACAATCGAAAAACAAGTAAAATTGCATCAATTACGGAAAGTCACAAATTTGGTACAGAATTATTGCAGTAAACATAACAACAAGCTAAAAAACCAATGGATTAGAAAGCAGGTTAAATACTACGCAAATATATCGAACTAGATACTATACTAGCTACCAGTAGTCACTGCAAGAACAAGTTCCATCCCTGAAGTGATGGAAGCGATTTGCATCTCTTACAACAATCTCCCTCTTTGTGAGCTTTGATATGCACTTTATGGCGCTATGGCAATCACCACATACCCTTAGGTTCTTTATAATGCGGATGGTTGCCGAGGGAGGAGTGATGATAAGTCCGTAAGCTATTGCGAGTTTCTCGCTATGATAGTAGAGCGCACGTTCTTTTTCCTCTTCTTCAACGTCAAGCAACATGAAGTCTGTGTCTGGGACGTATGATCCTTCTTCTCTTATTCTCTTCATCAGAGCCTCTACTTTCTCATATATCAGATCAGCTTGCGGATGGGATCGATCATCCACCACGAACAAATGCACCTTGTTTTGCACGTCGATCCAACTAAAACCCGGGTCCTTCTTAACATTTTTCAGCTTCATCATGTTTCTAGCATCAGTAACATCATCCCATTGCCTGGATGCAGCATATATATTGGATAAGAGGACATAAGCTGACGAATCCGACGGATCCAAGGCCACGAGTTTGTCAGCAACACGTTTTGCTGTTTCTGTATCTCCCTTAGTCCTGCAAGCACCAAGCAACGCTCTATACATCGAGGCGGAGGCTTCAAATGGCATCGATACAATTACGTTTTCAGCCTCTTGAATGCGTCCTGCCCGGCCAAAGGCATCCACCAGACACGAGTAATGCTCGATATCAGGAACAATGCCATATATTTTGAGCATTGCATCAAAATATTTGTAGGCTTCAGAAAACAAACCAGAATGGCTACAAGCAGAAAGAACCCCAATAAAGGTAACTTTATCAGGCTCAATACCATTTGATTGCATAATTTTGAAAAGATTGAGAGCTTCATCTGCATTACCGTGTTGGGCTAAACCTAACAACATGGCATTCCAGAAGGCAACTTTCCCAACGTCCATCTTCCCGAACACACTATAGGCATCTCGAACACTACCACATTTGCAATACATGTCGACTAGGGAAGTACCAACAAAATGGTCCAAAGCATAATCCAACTTTATCACATTAGCATGAATCTGTCTCCCCTGTTCAAGAGCGGTTAAACAAGAACTAGCTTTGATAAGAGTAGAAAAGGTATATTCATCAGGTTTAACTCCTGATACCCTCATTAACCGGTACACAGAAAGAGCACGATCCTCGTCTCCATTTTCCACATAACCCGAGATCATAGTCGTCCAAACAACATCATCAGGTCTGCTAATTTCATTGAACAATTCAAAAGCATTTGGCATGTCTCCACATTTAATGTACATGTCCAAAATACTACTACTGACCCATAAATCATCGTTGAATCCTAATTTTATTGAATGAGCATGAACTTGTTTACCTTGCTCCAAATTGATCAAGTAACTGGAAGCTTTCATTGCGGTTGCCAACGTGATTTCATCGATCAGCACCCCCGTTGCATGCATCAGACTCAAAAGTTCTAACGCCTTTTTAGTTTTGTTACTCTTTATGTACCCAAACATCAATGCGTTCCAAGAAGCCAAATCAAATTCATACTTGTTA